CAATTATGAGTAATACATGGATAAAACAATTATCATGACTAGAATAGCACTGCCAGCAACTTTCTTCAAAAAAGTCCCAAATTACAGTCCTTGAAGTGCTTCAAGAAAGTTCCCAGGTGCACGGTCCTTCATGTAGCTGTTCTTCTCTTTTGGGCTTTTACGACCTTCAAAGTTTTGTAATTGCCTTTCTTGTTCAGGTGTCTTCATTACTTTTCTCTTATCCTGCAGTGTTTATTTCTAAGGAAAACTCAAAAGAAGCTTTTAATGACATTTCCCAGGCCCCCAAGGTTGCTTTCTGTATTTAGTTAATTATCATAAAAGTATCTAATTAGTATATTATGAATTCAGTGAAAACCTGCTCTATAAATGTTTACTTAAAATTTAACTATAGAATTAAGTAAAAAGCTTAACGATTAATCTTTATCCTAAGTCTGTGAAGACAGTGTTATAAATCACCTACATAACTCCTAGATAAGTGTTAGAACTTATAATGAGCTCATAATGAACTTACCATAAACTTGTGCTTCTAATAGAACCTTATGTCTGAACACTGAGCTGCATAATTCTAAATCAAATAAGGAGTGAATATACTTATATCATTTTTTTACTCAAGCAATATCTAGTAACTTTATAACCCAAGTGAAAGAAAGCATTCTTGATGTGCTTCAGAGTTTAACCCTTGCATATGTTAGAAAAGGCCAAGCGGCATAGTGGGAAAATGGGAAAATGAACCCATGACATTCTCAGGTTAGGTGTGAGTACTTCGCATAAACATGCCATTTTCTTCTTCCACAACTGCACAGAATTTCTTCAGCCGTATCAAACAGCAAAGGTGGAAGACAGAAGGGCCTCAGCTTCCCAGGCTCACCCTGCGGCCCAGGGTCTTCGGCCCACTGGGACCCTGTCAATCAGGTGGACCTCCAAGGCTGGCTCCCAACACAGGCGGGTCTCGAACCCACAGGCTCAGGCAATCCACTCACCTCAGCCTCCCAAAGGCACAGGATTACAGGCTGAGCCAGTGAGCCCGGCTGACGAATCTTTTGATTGTTGTAGAGACAAGGTCTCACTATGTTGCCCAGGCTGGTGTAAGTATCTATTTTTAAGCTGCTAAATGAGGGTAATTGGTTACACAGCCATAGTACACCTGCCCTTACCCCGCCCCGTCCCTCTCTGTCCACTTGTCCAGCTTGATTTTTCTTTGGGGGTCCTGTGGCACACCAGTGCCACCCTAGTCGGTGGTGGGCAGCCTCCACCAGGCCGGGGCTATGCATCTTGCTGGTCTCAGCATCCCAGACCCTAGAAGGTGCCTGGCCCCACTGAATGAATGAATGAGTGAAGAAATGCAGGGCCTTCAGAGGGCCAATGCCATAGCGCAGAAAAGTGGTGTCTCAGCGGGGAGACCGGCTCACTCCAATCCCAGCTGCCCCGGGGGTCCCCACCCATTCTACACCGAGCCTGGGGACCCTGACCACCACCTCTTCAGAGCGATGTCATCCTCACCCAGGGACCTTGGTCCAGGGGGCCAGGGCCCAGGGTCCAGGTCCCTGGGGTCTCTGTGGGAGGACTAGCCCCGGGCCATGCCGTGTGGTTTGTCTCACACCCTCTGGTCTCAAGGCCCACGTGTTTCCATCTGGGATGGACATTTGTTCAATGCCTCATTCCAGTGATCTCATTCTTACACCCTCGTCAGACTTCTCACGAAAGTCATGCGATAAGAAAAGAATCCTATTCCGGCCCACATGTCCCAGTTTTTGTTTGGAAAACGGTCCCTGTGCCCATAGAAAGGAAAGGAGTGCTGAGTCCAGTTCCCTCCTGCCAGGGACTGCGGGCTGGAGCACTTTCCAGCAAAAACACTGGAACCCGGAGCCCCATCCAGGCCTGGGTCTGGCGAGGGGCTGGCCCAGGGCCCACCTGACTGAGCCATTTCCTCTGGGCTGAGACGAGCTTCCTGCCCGGAGAGAATGGAGAGCGTTCTCAGGCGGGGGTGGGCTGGGTCCTGTTCTGGGGAGGGGGCTCCTCCAGGCATGTCCCCACCTCCCTACCACACCCTGGGATGAGGCGCCTGTCTCGGAGGTTGGCTCGAGCTGTCCGGGGGGCGGCTCTTGGGGGCTGAGCCGGGCCGGACCGGCCTTGGCTCCTGCCCTGTCCTGGGTGTTTCCCGCGTGGGGGTGGAGGGTTCTAGTCCAGGCCCTGCCTGCTGCCAGGCAGCCTTCGGTGACCATGGTGGCCTTTGCAGAGAGGTGGGAACCCATCAGAGCCTGGAATCCTCGAGGCACCTATGTCCTTCCTTGCCTCCTCCCTGATGCCCCCCGCCCCCAGACATCCCTGACTCTCAGACCAGGGGAACCATTGGCTGAGAGGCCCCTTGCCCTGTGGGCCTCTCCTGGCAAAGGGCCCTGAGCTGGGGCCTCAATCCCCAGGGCACCAAATTGCCCCATGGGCCGGGCTGGAAGAACGTGGCCACAGCGGAGCCTCAGGCGGCCTGGACAAGGGGTGACTGGGACCACATTCTACAACCTGCCAGGAATGGGCCCGCCATGTTTCTCATGACCCTCTGTGAGTTTCCCTAGCCAAATCTTCTACAAGAAGGTAGCAGGGAACAGGCGAAGCACTTGAGCTCTGGGGAGCAGGTTGCCTGGGTTCAAATCCTGGCTTTGCCACTTCCTACCTGTGTGCCCTTGAGCAAGTTGCTTAACCTCTCTGAGCCTCAGTTACTGAATCAGTGAAAAGGGCTAACGGTACCTGCCTCTTGGGACTGATGTCAAAGTGAAATGAGACAATAAAAGTGCCCGTCACACGGTCAACACCCAACACACAGTAGCAGTTCTTTTGATGGGCTCAGAGAGGGGCAGTGGCTTGTTCAAGGTCATACAGCGGGTAGGCAGAGGAGCTGGTACCCGACCCTTTGGCCTCCCTGAGCTGGGCCCTGCAGGGGAGACAAGGCTGAGAGGGGCTGAGACGGGAAGGATCCTTGTGGTCTCAGGGGCTGAGACACGCAGGAGCACTGACAGAGTCAGCCCATTCCCAGCCTGAGAGGGGACGAGACATGGGCGCCGTCCACCCAAGACACCCAGTGGGTGCTAGACCACGTGTCCACCCACTCATCCCCTCTCCGCCTCAGCCACACCCCTCCCCACTCCACACCTGAACTTTCCTCTGTCCGCTAGAAGCCCTGTCCCCCGGGGGGACCCACCCCAGGCTAGCCCAAGACTCATATCCCAGGACCCTGCTGGAAGAGCTATGTGGCCTCAGAAAAGCCTCATCCCTCTCTGTGAGTTTGTGATTCTAAGCACAAGCTGGGAAAGTCTCATCTTTATTGTTTGGGGAGAGGGCGAGGGAAGCCAGTAGGGGGAAAGCCATTGTGAGGATGGGACTCCCCCCTCCCCCACCCCTGCCCAGGAAGGCAGGTCTGAGGGGGCTGCATCCATTGTCCGCCTGAGAAAAAGAGGGCCTGACCCAGGGGCCCCAGGTGTCCCCTCCCTCCAATGGGCTCCATCCCTAAACCCTGCCCTTCCTCCTGGGGCCCCGGTGCCCGCCCTGCACTCCGGGGTAGGGGGCAGCCCTGCCACTCCGCCTCCAGGTAGCGTCCTGGGGTCAAGGCCCGTGTGGACCTGAGACAGTCTCCAGACCCTTCCGAGGCAGGTCAGGAGGGGGCCGTCCTCTGGGGCTGGGCGGGTGCTGGGGCTGGGGCGGGTTTGGCGTGGGCACCGAAGGCCTCCGGGGCGGAAACTCCTGAGGAAGGTGGGGAGGAAAGGATGGAGGTTGCCGCCCATTTCCCCCTCCCGAGGGGCCTCGGGCCTCCAGTGATCCGGGTCCTTCCTTCCATTTGGGACTCTGGGGTGCAGGCTGGAGGGGGCTGCGGACAGGCTGGAGGTGCCGCTCGCCCTCCCCACTCCTAGTGACCTGGGGGACAGCCCCGGCCTGACTCAGGTGGCTCAAGAGGGGACTTGAGCTCCCTCTGTCCCCCACCCGCCGAGAGGGGTTGTCCCGTCTCTTCTTGGGCCCCTCCAGGCTCGCAGAGCTGTTTGGAGAGGCTTCGGTGTTTGGGGGGCTCACGGGGTGGGGTGCCCACCTGGATCTGGCAGAGGTCGAGCAGGGTGCGGATGCCCAGCAGACACCAGAGCTCGCCCAGCAGGGAGACGAGGATGCCCAGGAGGTCCAGCCAGCGGCCCACGGTCAGCAGCAGCACGAAGAGGCCGCCCATGCGCACCAGCACCGTCTGGACCTGGCTCTGCAGGCCGGGGTGTTGCTGTTGCTCCTCTGGGAGACGCAGGGATGTGTCACCACCCGCCTGCCACAGCCTTCCCTTTCCCTGCAGCCGCCCTCCCAGCCTCCTTGTCCCGCCCTCCTCCGAACACCTTCTGCCTTCCAGTACGCACTGCCCAGCCCACAAATCCCCTGCTGGTCAGAGGGAGACCCCCAGGCTTCCAGCTGAGGAGTCTGTGTACACCGGCATCTGAGCCATCAGGAGGCCCGTGACTCTGCCAAGCACCTGCATGCCAGCCCCTCTGGCCACTCTTACGGCCCCATCCCAGGCACCGTCCTCTCTCGCAACAGCCTCCTCACTGGGCTCCTGGCTTCTGTTCGTTTATTTTTATTTTTATTTATGTATTTATTTTTTGAGTTGGAGTCTCACTGTCGCCCAGACTGGACTGATCTCAGTGCCAAGTTGCCTGGGCCGTCCCGGGTCTCGAACCCGCGGGCTCAGGCAATCCACTCACCTCAGTCTCCCAAAGGTGCGGGATTACAGGCTGAGCCACCGAGCCCGGCTCCTATTTTTATTTTTAAAATAAAACTCCCAGGCTCAAGCTATCCTCCTGCCTTAGCCTCCTGAGTAGCTGGGACGACAGGTTCGTGTCACCATGCCTGGCTAATTTTTAAATTTTTTGCAGAGATGAGGTCCCATTATGTTGTCTAGACCGATCTCTTGACTCCTGGCTTCAAGCAATCCCCCAGATCCTTGGGATTCCAGGCATGAGCCACTGCCCCGGCCCCAGTTTCCATTCATGACCTTCAGTCTGGTGTCTGCTGACCAGCCAAAGTGACCTTCATTCCTCTGCTTATAACCTTCCCAGGACTTCCCACTGCATTTAGAGTAAGATCCGGCCGGGCTCGGTGGCTCAGCCTGTAATCCCAGCACTTTGGGAGGCCGAGGTGAGTGGATTGCCTGAATCTGCGGGTTTGGGACCCGCCTGGGCAACTTGGCGAGACCTCATCTCTACAACAAATCAAAAATTAGCCGGGCGTGGTAGCGCGTGCCTGTAGTTCCAGCTACTCGGAAGGCTGAAGCGGAAGGATCGCCGGAGCCCAGCAGGTTGAGGCTGTGGTTGCCAGGAGTGGCCACTGCGCTCTAGTCTGGGTGACAGAGTGAGACTCCAACTCAAAAAAAAAAAAGATCCAAACCCTCACATTACCTCTCCTCATCTCTGACTCGCCCACCCCCTCCTCGTGCACTATGCCTCAGGCATCCCTGTTTTCCTTTTGCATGCTGAGCTGTTCCTACCTTAGGGCCTTTGCACTCGCTGTTCTCTCTGTCTGGATCACCATTCCTCATCCTCTGCTTTCACCTCATCCTTATTCTGCCCCTGGCAGCTTGTCCTAGAGCTCAGGTCTAAACCAGGTCATTCTCCCCTGCCTAAAACCCTGCAGCGGCTTCTCATCAGTCGCCCAGCCTGGCGGCACAGGGCTCTCCATCAGGCCCCTGTTACCTGGCCAGCCCACTGCTTCCCCATGCCCTGGGGGTGACAGCCGCGCGGGGCTTGTCCACTGTGTGACACTGCCTTGCCCTGTCCACCTCTGGGCGTTGGCATGGGAGGTCCTCTCTGCCCACGACCCCCTGCCCTCCTTTCCTCTCTCTGGGGCCTCCTGCTGTCCTTCCGGGCCTAATCTAAATGCCAGCGCCCACCATACAGCCTCTGCCCTGACCAGGGCTCCCACCACCCTGGCCCCTCTGCACGGTGCCCACCGTCTGCCCACTGCCCTGACCAGGCACGCAGGGATGGCAGGGATGGGCCGGACGATCGTGGGCCTCCCCAGGGCCCGGCCCAGATAGGGATGTGGATTCAGTGGCGAGAACCCGGCCCCCGGACCTCACCCTGCGTGTGGATGACCAGCAGCGTGTAGCAGATGGTGAGCGGTGTCCAGAAGCGCACGGCCTCCGAGGTGGATAGGAAGTCCTGGTTGATGAGGGCCACGGCTGCCAGGTCGCCCACGGCAAAGGCCACGGCCAGGGCGCGGCCCAGCAGCCGGGGGAGGTGGTGCGCGCCGGCCAGCAGGCCCAGGCAGACGCCGCAGTAGCGCTGGCCGCTGTGCAGCTCGTAGAGGCGGCAGACGTGGTGGCGGAGGCGCCGGGCGCCCGAGCCCAGCAGCGCGGCCAGCGCCAGGCTCAGCAGCAGGTTGAGCGTGCGGCGGGGGGCGCCCTCCTGCAGGAAGCTCAGGCCGCAGGTCAGCCCGCAGCCCAGCGAGAACTGGCCCAGCAAGTACAGCCGCAGCCTCTCCGAGTCCCGGGAGCCCTGGGGGCGGGAGAGGGGGCGCTGGGGGCTGGGGGCTGCTCCCCTCTGCAGGAGGATGGGACACCCCGGGGCCTCAGGCCACTCGTTCTCTTGCCTTCATTACTTTCTTTTTTTTTGAGTCGGAGTCTCACTTGGTTGCCCAGACTGGAGTGCAGTGGCATGCTCACAGCCACCCCAGCGTCGACCTGCAAGGCTCCGGCTCAGCCTTCCAGGTAGCCAGAACTACAGGCGCATGCTACCACGCCCAGCTAATTTTTTGGATTTTTATTCTCACCAAGTTGCCCGGGCTGGTCTCGAACCCGCGGGCTCAGGCAATCCACTCGCCTCAGCCTCCCAAAGTGCTGGGATTATAGGCTGAGCCACCGAGCCCGGTCTTACTTTCATTTCAATCGTGTCTTTTTTTTTCTTTGTGAGTCAGGGTCTCACTCTGTTGCCCAGGCTGGAGTGCAGTGGCTCGATCACGGCTCACTGCAGCCTTGACCTTCTGGGTTCAGGCGATCCTTCTGCCTCAGCCTCCCAAGTAGCTGGGACTATGGGCACATGCCACCATATCCAGCTAATTTTTAAATTTTAATTTAATTTTTTGTGGAAACGAGGTCTCTCTATGCTGCCCAGGCTGCAATCATGTCTTGTTACTTGGGGCCCACCTGCTGGCTGAAGGGGATGGTTCAGAGCCTCGAAGACCTGGACCCAGTGCCTGACTCTCTGCATGGCTGGTGTTGGCCACCGACAAGCCACGCTCTCTCTGAGCTTAGTTTCCCCATCTGTGAAGTGGGAGCATGGCAAAGCTTCACCCCCTGTGGTTGTGAAGGTTCAGTGAGATGATACAGCGTTGCGTGAGGGCCCGGCACTCAGGAAGCCTGGGGCATGGGAGCTGCCGCTGTCGTTTTCTAGGGATGGGGCTGTAGCCACTGTGAGTGGAGACTTAGCCTCAGCGATCGAAGCCCGAGGTAGCGATCTGTGGCCTGTCCTCAATCTCACAGGAAACAGGCGGAGAGTAGGCTGGGGTGCTGCACCGGGCCCCACTGCCTCTGTCCCTGGGCGGGGGAGTTGCCCCTCTGTCACCTTCCCTGCGGTCTCACCTTGCCCAGGGACAGCAGCATGGACACGGCCCGGAGGGAGAACTCGAGCACCACGAGGGCGGCCACCCGGGCCCCCACAGCGCTCAGGAGCAGGGCCAGCCCGGCCAGGTGCGCCGGCTCCAGTGAGGCCCACTGGGCCTGCAGACGCTCCTTTTCGGGCCGCCGCCTCGGGTCACTGTGGGGGCAGAGTGGGTGTGGGCACAGGTGCAGAACCACCAGTCTCGGCCCCGGTGGGGTCCCCCTGCCCCCGGCCACACTTCCTGGGGTGGGGGGACGGCTCCCCGCCATCCCTCCCCAAAGAGGCCAGAGTCACGGTGCAGGACACGGGGGCCCTGGCAGGACTCCGGGGGGGATGG